GGAAGGAGGGCGTTCCCGAGGCAGGGGCGGGAGCGCCGCTCCGGGGGCCGCCTGACCGCTCCGGGAGTTCGAGGCCAGCCTAGGCTACGTGCATGCCTCCCCGTCGTGTGAGGAAGCTTGTGGATGATCAGCGTGGTTCTTCCCCCTCGGAACCACCCTCCCCGCCCACGTGACCCGCCCCGTCCGGGTCCCCGCCCCCGGGCGGCCCCTCCCCCGGGGGGCGGGGCTTACACTGCGCCAGGCGGGCGATGCGCGCGTCCAGGGTGCGTGGCGGGCGTCGCAGCGGGGCGAGCGCGGGTCCCAGGCGGTGGCCCAGCAGCAGGCCCTCCTGGCACATCCAGACCGACAGCAGGGAGCTGCAGACGAGCGACACCAGCGCCGCCGCCTTCCAGCGCCTCATCCTGGGCCTCGGCCTGCGGGGACACGGGGTGGTGGGCGCCCGCGGGCGGGGGGCATGCAGCCGTCTCTCGGGGTGCAACAGCGGGCACCCTGCCTCTTGTCTGACCCACTGCGTGCCTCAGTTTCCCCTACCAAGCCACACCCCCTCCGGGGAGGCTCCCCATTCCCGCCCCTGGGTGACGCCCCCTCCATCAGGGAACCCGTACTCCTGCTCATTGCACACAGTAGGTGTCTAATAATCAGCGCACCTCCCTCCACCTCTGCAGCCCCCCTCACTGGCCCAGGATCCCTGCGGCTCCCCCCCCCGTTTACCCAGCGGCCCCTGCTAGGCCTGGAGTCATTTGCATCCGATTTGCATGGCCCCGCCCCAGCCCCGCGCGTTCTTTAAGCCCTAAGTGCGCACCAGGCCCGACGCTGAGCACACAGGAGGCGTCTGTGCCTGTGTTAGGCTGGGGAAACTGAGGCACAGAACAGGCGTTGGCTTGCTGGTCCTGACCTCTGACCCTGCTGCTGCCCTTCTTGGACCCCGCCGCTCCCCCCGTTATTGAACACCAACTGTATACTCTATACTCCCAGGAAACCACGCGTGCGTGCGTTTGTCCCCATCTGACATTCGCCGGGGCTAAGTCTGGGTCACGTGACGGCGAAGACCCGGCTGCCGCCCAGTAGCCAAGGCTAGCCCGGGGTATTCCGGGCCGAGTGTCAGGGCCCGAGCGCGGCCTGCGGGTGATGGGAACCGAACCGGGGCCTCCGCGCCCACCGGCGGGAATTAACCACTTGGCCACGCTGTGCGCGGTGGAGTCTCTGCCCTGGCATGCCCGCCTCCCGCCCCGGGCCCGGGCCTCGGTTCCTCCCCCGCCCCCCTCCCACCCCTCCATCCTCTCCTCCCCACGGCCGTGCCCCCCTTTTCCTCTCTGAACTATGAGGAAGCGTGATGGCAGGGATGACCGCGGACCCCCAGCCGAGCTCCGAACCCGCGAACAATGGCCCCTCTGTCTGGGGTCACCCGACTGGTTTGTCGGGCACGCAAGGGGGGTGCTGGGGGTGACGTCGGTGCGCAGAGGCTCCTGGATGGGGCCCAGCGGTCACCGCATCCTCCTGCCCTCCCCCGGGCCTCAGTTTCCCCATCTGCAGTGGTGTCCAGCAGACCCACTCGTGTACGCGGGGGTGCGCATGACCCGGGGCACCATGGCGCTCAGCCTCCTCGCGCCTCCATGACCCATAGGCTCTCGCGTAGCCCAGGCTGGCCTTCAACTATGTAGCTGAGGATGACCCTGCACTCCTGACCCTCCTGCTCCTCCTGAGTGCTGGGGTGACGGTGACGTGCCACCGCTTCCGGTTGGGGGGGTGGTGTCTTCAGTACTGCTTTAGGCAGAGTCCGTGCCTCAGTTTCCCCATCAGCACTGGCAGTTTTTTCCCCAGGCTGTGGGGGAAACTGAGGCCTCCTGGAGCTCGGGTCCTCACCTCCCTCCGAAGGCCCCACCCGCCGGCGGGACGCACATCTGGGGGCAAAGCAACAACATGTGCGGAGCACAGCTGGTTCCGATGAGCCGTGGGGGCCCCGGCCCAGGGTGGCCTTTGGGGCTCGGTGGGCTGGGGGGCACAGCCGCTCCCTCCCAGCCGTCCCCCCGTCCCCGGCGCGGGGGATGGGCGAGGACTCCAGGGCCGCTGCGCCCCTGAGCGAGGCCTGATTTGTTCAGACTCCTGCTCGGACCTCAAAGCCCCGATTCCAATGTGTCCCCGCGCCCCACTTTTCCAGAGAGTTCATCTCATTGTGTGTGGTCTGTGGGAGCACACGCCGCAGCGTGCGTGCGCGCGCAGGTCAGAGGGCAACCCTGGAGTCAGTTCTGTGGGTTCAGGTGGCGGATGTCAGCTTAGCCACCCGGTCCCCCTCCGCGTTCTGAAACCGAGGCGGCCGACCGCTCAGCAGAGGGGTGTAAACGGGGAGGGGGGGCTGGGCGACTCGGCGACCTCCGCGGGGAGCCCCCACGCGCACCCGGCGCACGCAGGACCAGAGAGGGGGCCTGTCCCCGCAGGACACACAGCACCGCGCGCGGCCCCGGGGCCGGCGGTGCGCATGCCCCGCGGATAACCGGATCAGGCTAATGCGGGCTGAGCCGCTGGCGCGGGGCGCAAGGGCGGCTGGGAGCCCCCACCCCCGAGTCCTGACCATCTGGCTTGGAAGGGAAACTGAGGCAGGCAACCCCTCCTTCCCAAATCCAAAGTTTGGTCTCAGGTCCTAGATGAGGGTGTCGGTTCTCCGAGCCTCAGTTTCCCCAGACCGGAGACGGGAGCCTGCGTTCCCGGAGCTGCTTTTTCCTCTTGAATTATCTTCATTACTTTAAATATGCGTGTTTGCGCGAGGCGGGCCGGGCGCAGGGGCGTTGACCCCTGTCGCGGGGGTCACGGGCAGCAGGGGCCCCAGGGAGAGCTCTGCCTTGCCCTCCTTGGCCTGTTGCTAACATTTTCCTGCGCCTCTTCTCGGTTGAGTCGGTGTAGCCCAGGCTGGACCCTGTGTAGCCGAGGCTGGCCCTGAGCCTCCAGCTCCTGAGTAGCTGTGATGACAGGCCCATGGCACCACACCTGCTCCCCATGCTTCCTTCCCTGCCAGCCTTCCGGAACATTCTCTCCCCAGCCGTCACCGGGTCACCCCGACTGTCCCCACACAAGCCAAGGTTTCCCCACTTGGAGAACTTGTGCCCATCCCGCCCAGCCCCAGCTGTAGCGCCCCTCCTCCAGGAAGTCTTCCCGGAGCCTCCCACCTCGCCAGAGTCCCCGTCACAGGTCCCCCGTGTCGGGGGAGGCCAGTGTGGCCGCGTCCAAGGACAGTGCCCATGGGCACACATTTGTCGGAGCATCCCTGGCTTCTGTGCTTTGGTGCCTGGCTCAGTTTGTTTGTTTGTTATTTTGTTCTGAGAACAGGATGGTGGTATTTCGGGACAGGATGCCCGGCTGGGGGGTGTCCTGCTGAGGAGGGGGTGCCCGGCTGAGGGGATACCAGGCCGGGAAGGGATGCCCTGCTGAGGGGGATGCCCGATTGAGGGGTGTGCCTAGCTGAGTGGGGGTACCCAGCTGGGAAGGGATGCCCTGCTGAGGGGGGTGCCCGATTGAGGGAGGTGCCTAGCTGAGTCGGGGTATCCGGCTGGGGAATGCCCTGCTGAGGGGTGGGGTGCCTGGCTGAGGGACTGAATGGCTGGGGGGGTGCCTGCTTTGAGGGATGCCCTGCTGACGGGGGTGTCCGATTGAGGGGGGGTGCCCGGCTGGGGTTTGTCCTGCTGACGGGGTGCTCAGTTGAGGGGGTGCCTAGCTGAGTGGGGGTACCCAGCTGGGGAGGGATGCCCTGCAGAGGGGGGTGCCCTGCCAAGGGGGGGTGCCCGGCTTGAGGGGGACGTTTGTTTTCCCTCCACGGCCAGCCCTTTGTGGTTGCCTAGGTGTTTGGAGCCGGCTGGGGATCCAGGACCCTCAGAAGTCCCCGGATGAAAGCGCGGGAGGGGTTGTCCGGCCCGGGGCGAGGGGCTGGGGTGAGACGAGCTGGTCAGGCTGGAATCCGCCCGCCACTGACATCCTGCCCGTCACGCCCCATGGGGCTTCCTCAGCCCGGGGCGCTGACACACAAAGGGTGTCCCACAACATCAGGGATGTGAGGCCTGGCGAAGGCGGCGGGACGGAAACCCAGGGGTCCAGTGCCCAGCACAGCCCCCCCCCCCGCATACCCAGTGGGCCAGGCAGATGGCAACCCCCCTACGGCCCCCAAATCCGCATCTCAGCATCCAGCCCGGGCTTCACGATTTCTGCCTCCAGTCCCACCTGAAGTCTGCCCACTCTGCGGCACCCCTGGGCCTGGTGACTTCTCACCCATGAACGAATTATCTGGGGATAATCTGGAGCAAGAACTCGGAAAGTGGGGAACACACACCCCGTTTCCAATCTGAGCTTTGCCCTTAAGGGACCCCCCTCCTCCAAAGAGCCCCACGCCCTCTTGTGGCTGAACAGCGACTCAGGAGCCCAGCGGCCCGGCCCTTACCGGGGAGGACACGGTGTCCCCGGGCGAGCAGAGAACGCGCCCCTGACGTGTTTACTTCTGTGCGCCGCGGGGCTGTGCGCGGCCAGGTCCCCTCCTGGGGTTCACTGAGACCTCGATGTCCCCCCTCCATCCTCCCTGCCTGACGGAGCGCTCACAGGGGTCCGGGGGTCCAGCAGCTTAGCACGGGAGCTGGGGGCGCAGGAGCCGGGAGCGCGCCCCGTCGGGTACCCCGCGGTGACCCGGGAGGGGGTCCTTGGGGACTCCCCGCCCCCCCGCACTGCACCCCGGGACTCAGCTTACCTGCCGGGAGCTCCAGATGACCCGGTCAGTGGTGACTCCTCTGGCCACCCGAGCCCGGCCCGGCCCCAGCCACCGCGTGCGCCATCCGGATCGCGGGGACCCGAGGCGACCCAGGGACCCCGTGCCGGAGGAGGCCACCGCGCAGAGTGCGGGACGCGGGCCGGGCCATGGGGTTTCCCCCCCTGTCCTCTCTCTTTCTGGCTTCCCGGGGCTCGCCGGGCTCGGTACACCCCGGGACGGCGCGCGTGGGAGGCTGGAGCACGCTCGGGACGCGGGGCCACGCGGGGAGCGTGGGGCGCACGGACGGAGCCACCGCGCGCTCTCCCTCCGCTCCCGCCGCGCACCGCTCAGGCCGGCAGGGTTGGAGGGGGCGTGGCCTTCCCGGAGGCGTGGACGTGGGCGTGGCGTAGGGTTTCCCGGGCTCGGGAGCCGCCCTCATCCCGCCCACAGCCGGAGGGGCGCGCCGGGAGAAGCAGGTGGCAGGAACGCGGGAGGCCCTGGACGGCCGCCGGGATCGATCGATCGACTCTCCCGGGACTCTCCTTCATCCGAGACTTTGCGCCCCGAATCGAGTCCACACTAACTTTGCGCACCCCTTCCCGAAGTCCCCAACTCTCCACCTAGACCCCTAAGACTATCCACGAGGAGGAAACCCTCGAGCATCGGATCCCCCCAAATTGCTCTCTCCAGTGCTCTGTGGCCATCGAAGTTGAAACCTCGAGTCCCAAGATGCCCCGTGACCCTCCTGGCCAGCCAAAGTCCACTGCACCCACCCACGACCCCCCACAAGTCCTCCCCACCCCTCTCTCCGCCCCAAGAAGCCTTCCCAGGGATCCTGAGTTCAAGGTCTCTGCTCAGACACCCTGGATTATGTAGGGCTGCAGGAGATCCCGTGGTCTTCAGTAAACCACACCCATCGTCGCTTCCCGTCACCCTGATCCTCAGAGCCCCGTGGGGGACCCTGACCCACTGACGGCTTCCCCCAAAGCACCCCATCCGGGACTCCATCACTGAAACCCACCACACCCTACTCCTCCACCGCCTGCAACTCGCAAGCGCCCCCTAGCGGAAACCCATCACTCAGGGGCGGGGCGGGCGGGGCTGTGACCACGCCCCCTCCACACCCAGTTGCTGAGAAACCACCGCCCCGAGGCCCCGCCCTCGACATCCAGTGCCCACTCCACCCCAGCACCCTTGGCTGCCACTGCTTTCTGGTTGGGGCGGGGGCTGACTTAACGTCCACTCATCCCAGAAGCCTTTTCAGGACCAACCTCCAAACCAGTCCCACCCCTTCCCAAGGGCCTGCGCTGGGGACCCCCCACGCGGGTGCAGTGTGTGCTGATGTGCATGTTGGGTGCATGTGGTAGTGTGGGTTTGTTTGGCTCCGTGGGTCAGCGCAGCAGACTTCCGAAAGTCACCTGTGCCCTGTGCGCTCTGAGACCTGAGGCAGCGACTCCTCCCTGTCCCTGCGGCTTCCAAGTGATTCGCCCAGGGGTGAGGGCATGGCACAGGACGGGGGAGATGGGGCGAGGGCGTGCCGTGGGGGAGATGGGGCGAGGGCGTGCTGTGGGGGAGATGGGGCGAGGGCGTGCCGTGGGGGAAGATGGGGGAGATGGGGCGAGGGCGTGCCGTGGGGGAGATGGGGCGAGGGCGTGCCGTGGGGGAAGATGGGGGAGATGGGGCGAGGGCGTGCCGTGGGGGAGAGGGATATGGGACATTCAGGCTGAGGTCCTAACAACCTGTGCATCTCCCCATCCCCACCGTCACTCAGAGGGGCACCTGGTGAGCAGCATGCTGGCTGCACGCGCACCTCTTTGGCAGCAGCACACTCAGCTGTAGGTCCTGTACACACCAGAGGCACACTGACTTTACATGAGCACGAGTGTGCGCGCACACACACACACACACACACACACACGCACGCGCACGGCTCTTCTCGGCCCACACACAGAGGATCTCCCCTGAGGCTCGTCCACACACACTCAGTTCCACTACAGCCCGCCGCTGGCTGACACACACAGACTCACACCGGCCAGTCCACACAAACAATGCAGCTGCTCCCTGTCCGTGTCTTCTGTCACATCCATCACTGGTGCAAAGGCCCACGCTGACACACTAACACAACATGCAACATGTGCAAGAAAAACCCACAGCTCCTGCAGGTACACACACCGCACACGTGGGGGGGGCCCTTGCGCACACAGCTGTCCAGAGCTCACCCCTACTGGGCCAGCCATGAAGCTGTCACCAGCCACCCTGTGGCCACCTCTGCTCACCCGGCCCAGCCGTGACTGGGGGTGGGGCAGGCAGACACATGGGGAACAGGACACACACATGTGCCCACCATGTGGACGCTCATAAAGTGGTTGCCCTGGCAACAGCAACTTGAAAGACCCGGCTTCCCCTCTGGGGTAGGGGTGCAGGCGTGGAGCTGACACCAGCGGGCGGGACTAGAGCAGAAGGTGGGGACACAGGACCTGCACCCACCTATGACCCCATTTCTGGGACACGTGGTTTGTTGCAAACACACCCACGGGGATCTCATCAGCCTCAGAGACACAAAGTGGCTGCCTCACTCAGGGCTGGACGTGGTCACACCAGAAACACAGGTGCCATCTATCCCGACAGCCTCCAAGGTCACCCACACGCTGTCACCCCCCAGACGGGGCAACAAACAGACGCCCTGTCATACTGTCACACCTCGGCGGGGAACTGGGGCACACACACGCGCGCACACACCCCTCTTCTTCCCGAATCCTCCACCCCCAGCTAAGATGAGGCCGGCAGCTCCCCCGCAGGGATCTTGTTGGCTGAGGGAGGTGCTCCATGGAGACCAGCACCGTTGGTCACCTCCTTCGGAGCAGAGCCACAGCCGTCCTGTCCGGGAGGCTGAGCTCAGCGAGGCTGGGGGTGTTTACAGTATCTTAGGTTAAGTCCTCTTGTTCAGGACGCAGGCCACGTAGGACTGTGTCCCCCACCGGGGGGGGGGGGACTGTGGGGTGGAACCCGGTGTCCCAGCAGGGCCTAGACATGGGGAAACAGGTTCAAAGAGGCTCGGACATGTGCAGGCCCTTTGATCCACTGAGGTGACAGGAACCTGAGTTGGGGCCGTGGCTCCCACCCCACCCCGGTGGACTTCCTCCTTCTTCCTACATCTCCAAGTGACGCCGCTGCCCTGCCACATGGCCTGCTCGGCGACAGACTGGGTGGTTGTGAAACCTGAGGCTCAGAGAGGTTATGCAGCAGGTCTGGGCCACCCAGCAAGGAGCCGTGGCTTCTTGGGGACTCCGCAGAAGGTCCCGCCCTGTCCTCCCACCCATCTCCTCCTGCTCTGGAGCCGGCCTGACCTCTCCTGGAGGCCGCCATTCCCCAGGGGAAGCACTCTGTTCTTGGGTGGAGACCCAGACCAAGGCTTGGGAGGCTGGCGGCCTCTGGCCAAAGCATGAACTTGGCTGGTGGGTAAGTTTCCATTTTAGCGTTCGGATTTGGTCCAGGTTCGGCCGGTGGGGGCTGGACCCCCACCCCCGAGGGGGACCCCCAGGGACTAGCCCAGCGCGGGTTGAAGGTGCGTGGGAACTCAGTGTGTCCTGTCCCCCTGGGCCACCTCATGTGACTGTTAACTTCACAGGCACCACCATCCTACAGTGCTTGTGGTGTCAAGGTGACAGAGATTGCCCAGCCTCAGTTTCCCCATCTGTGAAGCTCTAGCTCCTAGGTGTGTTCCGGACCTAGCCTTGGATACCCTCTATATGACAGGAGTGTCCTTGAGCTTCCCTTCTAGTATGGACTTCCGTTTTTTTTTTTTTTTTTTTTTTTTTTTTTTTTTTTTTTTTTTTTTTGTTTGTTTTTTGAGACAGGGTTTCTCTGTGTAGCTTTGCGCCTTCCCTGGAACTCACTCGGTAGCCCAGGCTGGCCTCGAACTCACAGAGATCCGCCTGGCTCTGCCTCCCGAGTGCTGGGATTAAAGGCGTGCGCCACCACCGCCCAGCTGGACTTTCGTTTTTTTGAGAAAGGATCCCATACTGTAGCCCAGGCCAGCCCGAACTTAACTCCTGGTCCTCCAGGCATGTTCCCAGAGGTCTTTGAGGTGCTCCGGATGGAACCAGGGCCTCGGCCATTCCAGCGAGGGCTCTACCCACTGAGCCCCGCCCCAGGTTGACCTCTGCCAAGGCTTTGCTCTGTAGCCCAGGCTGGCCTGGAACTCTCCCATCCTCCCGCCTCCACGGTTTGTAGCACTGGGTCTGGGACTTTGGGGTGACTGTTAGTGTGGGAGCCGCAGCGGGGCCTCCGGCATCTCTCTCTCTCTCTGGTGGAGGTGTGGGGACCCTGGAGGCCCGTGGGCGGCAGGAAGGGGCGGACTGCAGAGCCAGGCGGGGATGGTAAAAACAGGACCGGGCTGTTACCCTGGGGGCCATCGACAGCCCTGGGTCAGGGGTCAAGGCCGGGTCCCCGGGGGTCCAGGGTCAGGAAGGTGGGAAACGCATCAGGCCGGCCACCTGGGGAACCGCTCCGGACGGGGAGCGGGGAGGGGGCGGGCCGGAGGCGGCTTGCTGGCTCGCGGGCCGTGGTGCGCACGCGCGCACTCGCAGGGGTGCGGGCTCTCCGCCACCGGCTTGGCCCCGGCTGCTCTAATCCCCCTGCTCCCGACCTGCAGCCCCGAGATAAGGACCCAGCTGCAGACGCAGATAAAAGAATCGCAGCCACACAAATCCGGGAGGCCAGCCGTGGGCACCTAGCCCGGGCTGCACCTGCCAGACCTGGGGGGAGGGGCGGGAGGGGTGGGCAGGCGGGCACAGACCTGGGGAGAGGGGCGGGAGGGGTGGGCAGGCGGGCACAGACCTGGGGAGAGGGAAGGGGGGAGCCCAAAGCGGAGGCGGGCGGGGGCTGGACCGCCGCGAGTTTGGGGTTGTCCTGGCATAGAAAGTGAGACTGTCACCAAGAGACAAAAATGAGGGAGAGAGAGAATGCAGAGCATGGTTGCAGACCCACTTGAGAGCGGAGGAAGAAGGATCAGGAGGTCAAGGTCATTGCAGCCACAGTGAGGTGGAAGCTAGCCTGGGCTACCTGAGACCTTATCTTAAAAAAAAAAATGAAAATAAAGAAAAATTGTTGAGGCTAAATAGGAAGAATAG